GGAAATGGAGAGAGTGGGAAGAGGAGAAGACGAGGAAATAGAGAGAGAAGAAGAAACAGAAATAGAATAACCCGAGCCCAGAGTCAGGCGCAGAATGGGGCGTCTGTTATTATAGCATATTACAGTGGGTTACTTGAATTGCCAGGCTAAAAGGACCTGTACTGGAGAGACTGATTTATGACTCTAATATCACCATGCTGCAGGAATTAAACATAGATCTATATGAGTGTCCTCATACATTAGTTATGTCAATCCTACCTGACAGGGAAGACATTGGCAATGTCTTCTAGTAGGTAATGGGGTGAAGCATGTGATTCTTGGCCCGAGCCAATGGAATCATAGTACACTAGAAGTTCAGGGTATACAGATAGATAATGGGGAACCAACATGGAATTTAGTAAATGTTTACGCTGCTGTTGAATCTCTTGTCACTAAAGAACATTGGGACTGACTCAGAGAGTTGGAGGAAATCCCTGATAATCATATGTAGGGATTTCAATGCGCAAAACAGAGCATGGGACAGTAGTGGGCGGGGGAGGGGGGGAAAGACAGGAAATGCTTTAGCAGAGGCTATGGTGGATGCAGACATTATCTGTATAAACGACGTCAGGCCAACTAGTAAATCTACTCGATGAAACATCAACCAAGTATGGCATGGAATTAAACGCAGAAGAAACAAAAGTCCTGACTAATAATTAAGAGGGCAGAATTTCACCAATCTGCGTAAAAGGTCACAAATAAAACAAGTGACTCATTTCAAATATTTAGGATCCATTTTAAGTGACTTGGGATCAAGACCAGAAATTATATCAAGGATTGCCCAGATAACATCAGTCCTTGCCATGCGGCAAACATTATGAAAATCTAAAAACATTTCATGCAAGACTAAGATTTGATTGCTCAAAGCACTAGCTATTTGTACATTTACGTATGGCTGTGAAACGTGGACCTTAACATCTGAACTTGAAAGAAAGATACAAGCATTAGAAATGCAATGTTTCAGAAAAATTCTTGGCATATCCTACAGAGACCCACATTACAAATGAGGAAGTTCGCCATAAAATCATACAGCACACTGGCAACTATGAACCTCTTTTAACTACAGTGAAAAGTTAAGCAATTCAATGGTATGGACAAGTAATAAGATCTAACGGCCTCTCAAAAACAGTACTGCAGGGCTCAGTAGAGGGAAAGAGGAGAAGAAAGACCTGGTTACAGCTGACTGACTGGACAGGCCTCAGGCACGCAACCATGAAGTCCATCGCAACTGACCGCCAAAGGTGGAGATAGCTGATCAGGCAGTCAACAGAAACTGGTGACCCAACGACACATATTGTTAAGGGATGATAATGTTGAGGATGATGAGGCCAGCTAGAATGGCAGTGAGACTTGGTGATGCAGGTACGGCTGTTGATTTGGCGTTTGTTACTCAGTCAGCAGTGCTGGACACAATATGAAGTGACCATTTGCCACTCGCAGTCTTGATTTCGAAAGCTAGGAAAATCAAGGCTGTGAGAGCGCACAAGACTTTTAAGTATGAGAGGGACAGTACCCTTCTTAGAGGCCTCCAACAAAAAGTATGCAGCAGAACCACCATCTCTGCTTTTATGCAGCCTCCATGGTGGACCCAAGAAGTAGAAAAGGCATTGACAGCAAAGTGAGCAGCAGTTAAGAAGTTACAGAAGGTGCAAAAGGCAGTGTTAGATAGGGAAAGGTAGAAGAGTTTAAACGGTATGCAGCAGTTGTGAAAAAGGCTAAATCAGAACTTTTTATCAGCGAAATTGCAGGGGATAAATCACTGAGTAGGTTCTGGAAACTTCAGACAGATGCAAAGGAAGAATCGGCCTATCACAACAAGTATTATATACACTAATAATGATATGCCAATGACATCAGACAAAGAGAAATGGAAAGCATTTTTGAAGAGATTTATAGCTCAAACTGATCATAATGATAGGGAGCTTGGAATTTCAGTTAGAGATAATCTGTCTAATATTATAAATAATAATTATTTTCAGGATATTATTAGAGTAAAAAAAAAAAAAGTAAAGTTCCCTTTTCACGCCTTTCGGCGCATCGGGCATATGGGCAGAGCGTCCCATATTTTTACAGACCATCAGCACTCTGTGGGTAATGTGGTCAGCATTACGCTGGCTGTCTTTACTTTCCCAGGACAGCCCATCCTGGTACCCATTTTAGGCTGGGTCGACCTGCGACGTCCCCATACCACGACAAAAATCCGCGCAGCCAGCAGTGGGTTTCGATCGCGGTATGCTGGCTTACGAGTCGGACTAGCAATGCCTTAGCCACGGACGCCGCATGATTAGAGTGGAGGATATAAAATGGTATTGCAAAAAGCAGAAGACACTGCGCTGGGGCCAGGCGGAGTCAGATATGCCCACAGGAAGACTTGAGGAAGAGTGAAGAAGACTTGAGGGAGATAGCTTTTTACTTCAACCAGAGCATCAGAACAGCTTCACTACCCCAGGACTGGGTATATAGCTACCTTATTCCATTTATAAAACCAGGCAGAGACCATTCTAGACTCATGCTAGAGAAGATTATTACTGTTAAACTACAAATGTTTTTGGAAAGGGAACAACTCCTGTCAAAAGGTTTGCTAATCTACTGGCCACGAAAACATACTTGGTCAAATGCAGCTATTTTTGAGGGGTTCCAGAACATAGGAAACAGTTGTGACAGTACTTGATCTTGAGGATGCATACGATAGAGTCAAAGATGATTTTATATCTGCACTTTTGGTGAAGGGGGTTTATCCCTGGCTTGTGAACTAAATAGCAACTGTCCTGCATTCGTGTATGGTTGCTCTTAGCCTGGGTATATAAACCTCAGAACCGTGTAATATCACCCCAGGGTTCCACAATGTCACCAGTGCTCTTCAAAGTATATACAAGCAAGATTGCGGAACTTGAAGTACTAGGTGTTAAACGGATATTAAGATTTGCCAATGATGCTCCTGTATATAGGCAAAAGGGAGCGGGGGTGATAGGCAACAGATAGCCCAAGAGCTATAGGCAGCTGTAGACAAAGGGATTGATGGTGTGCAGAAAAGGGTGCTGTCATCATTTCAGAAAAAGCGCCTGTTGTGGTGTTCTTTAAAAAATAGAATTGTAAGAGCTAATGTTCTAAGCCTCACAGTTGATGACAATAATATCAACAGAAAAAGCAAACTGAGGTACCTGGGTATCATTTTCGATAGAGCGGAGCATCTGTGGGGTGACCCATTTGCTATGAAGCTGAAACTAGGATTACCAGATTCGATAGAAGCCTATCTTTCAGAAATCATGTAGAGGCAGTTGTGGTGAAATGCCAAAAAGGTCTCAATGCTTTCAAGATTATTGCAGCATTGGACATGGAACAAAGAATGCTGTTTACAATGTTCCAGCATGTGATCCTGTCTGATAGATTATTGACTTGGAATGCTTACCATATCAAAGAGTCAGCCGATGAAACTTGCATACAGAATGATACCATGCGGGTAATTCTGGAATGTACAAGAGATACCCCAGTAGTATGTATGAGATATTTACTAGTTGAAATGTTAGACCTAGATATCAGTGTGTATCATCGCTCAGAGATAGTTTGAATTTCGGAAATAGTTTGATTTAAGATAGCTGAAAGCGAACTTTTATCGTTGTTACCTGAAGTGACATGGTCACATGAAGTGAATGGTTTGTGTGAACACTGTGTTGACTGTTAATGTTTTGTTATCTGTGGAGCATGTTAGTTTTTGTGTTCAGGAAAATAAACAGATGTTCAGTGTGATTATCATTCTGTTTGTTTTGATTCAGAATAGTTAGTATGACTAGTTTTACTGCTACTGCTAATTAGACATCATATAGAACAGATCCTATCAAGGCTAGGGTAGTATAGATCTCAGTTCCCGCCTAACGGACTTTTCTCTTTCTTTTTTCTCGTTACTAAAACAGCTTGGTTGTGGGTTTTAGTTTTCACTCACCACGACAGTCTTTCTTGGAGCTCTTATTGGCTTTGAGTAGAGATAGGTTCAACGAGTAGATTTATCTTATCCTTTATATTGTCTCTCTCCTTCCTTGGCTAGCATCACCTTAGGCTTTGTTTCTAGTACATCAACAGTTCTGACCACTAAGGCGAAAGTGATCTCTCAGTTACTGCTATTAACTCTTGCCCCGGTGATCAAACCAACCGCTGCTGCTTAGAAAATTGTTTCATACACAGTTTTGGCATTCTCAGTCCTGGAGGGATCTATATTCAACACAGTTTTGTTTAATTTTATTGATTTAGGTATTTTCTTAATCTTTTTTTTATATTTCTTCCCTTTTATTTTTTTAATTTGCCTTTTTATGTATTTCATTTTATAATATAGCCTTTCATATTCATTTTTTTCTGTTATTATGTATATCTTACCTTCTTGATGAAGTTGATTTTTTTGAAGCTCTGTTGTCTTGTCTGTTGCGTTTTCCAATCAAAGTTTGTGTTATATTTAGTACTTCATTTGACAAAGACTTTAGTAGAATTGTTTGAGTCTTTTCCCTTCCCTCTGTTGAGCTTTCTGGTCACATTCTGCTATATTAAGAATTTCTGTTCGTTATTATTCATTCTGTTTTTTTTAACTTATCTTCTAGGTTTAGTTATCTCCTAAAGTAGGAACAAAAACTAACTCTTTCAAAAGTTGCCATGTATTTTAAATTGTTTTAAGATTGTGTCGTTTTAAAAATGTTAGAAATGATTTCAAGTCTTATCTTAGTAATGAACTTGCTTATCATAATTGTCGGTATCAGTTTATTATAATTTTTTTTTTAAATAGCTAAAAAGGTTAAAGGTGATGACAAGAGGCTCGCTTTTACATCTCTGGATTTTATCCCATATATCTCTTTCTTTCTCCATAGATCATCTTGCTTAGATCATCACACAAAGTACAACTAGTGATGATCATCATGGGTCTCCATTTGGTGGAATAATTACTTCATTCCGTTTATTGTATCTGCATTTATTTTCAGCTGAGCATTTCTTTGTCCATATATCGTGGAATCGACACAGCAGTTGAAGGAGGAAAGTATTTGATGTTGGGCATAAGTCTCGCTGGTTTTGTTGCAGTGCAAATACTAATGGTATTTATATTTTGACCTTTCAGCCCATTAAAGTCTGTTAAGAGTATACAACGTACTATTACATGTATTTTTGATTTGACTTGTATTAGTAGCAATCTGAAAAAGGAACCTGCCATCCTACCATTTTCATGCATTTCTTCAACAATAGATAAACACACATGCAAGCCATGTTCCAATGTACTGCAACATATCGAAGACATCATTGAACTAATTTAGTAGGATAGAGGATTGTTTGGTGCAGATACATTGCTGATGAAAGAAAACATGATTGACCTAACTTTGTTAAAAGCCTTAAGACAAGTAAAATCACATAAAAGAAGAGCTGCTACGAGATTCGCCTCACCAACAGCGCCACAACAGTCTTAAGCCATCAAACCTATGCTTTTGACTTTTCGGCACTCACACCATAAAGCAAGAAGTGCATCACCATTGATGAGAGTTGATTCAACCCTCATTTACAATGATGACAACAGTGATGTAAAAACTGCTTATTCCTACATTACAATGCACCACATTTTGGTTAAGAATTTTTGAAAGTAAGGTGCGTCCAGTTTGTTTTAAAAAGTAGCTTATTTGATGTGTCAAAACATCCTAGTAGGTTTGAAAAATTGGTTTAAAAAACATCAAAGATGTTTTGAAAATCTTCGACTTTGCTTTTAAAAACTTGCAGTTTAAAGTGACAAATTAAATGCAAGCGCGTTTGATGGCTTAAATGACCTGAGCACTAACGTGTCAGGCTGAAAAGTTAAAATGCAGTAACCCAGAGGATTCACAGCCAACTGGCAAACATCAGATGAGTGGACCCAGAGGATTCACAGCCAACTGGCAAACATCAGATGAGTGGACCCAGAGGATTCACAGCCAACTGGCAAATATCAGATGAGTGGACCCAGAGGATTCACAGCCAACTGACAAACATCAGATGAGTGGACCCAGAGGATTCACAGCCAACTGGCAAACATCAGATGAGTGGACCCAGAGGATTCACAGCCAACTGGCAAACATCAGATGAGTGGACCCAGAGGATTCACAGCCAACTGGCAAATATCAGATGAGTGGACCCAGAGGATTCACAGCCAACTGACAAACATCAGATGAGTGGACCCAGAGGATTCACAGCCAACTGGCAAACATCAGATGAGTGGACCCAGAGGATTCACAGCCAACTGGCAAACATCAGATGAGTGGACCCAGAGGATTCACAGCCAACTGGCAAACATCAGATGAGTGGCAAAGTGGTCAAGCTGTTTGCCTTGCTGTGTGAAGGTCATGGGCTCATTTCACGGATGTGCCCTTCAGTTTGTGATTGCAATTTTCACGGATATTCTGGGGATCATCGCCGGAGCTACGGAGTTCATGCTTTGCGGAGAGAGACTGAGGCGTGTGGGATAAAACCAGTTGTAATAAATTCGATGCTCTTCCACTTGAAACTGATTTAATTTATTGTAGAAATATTTTTCTTCCAAGGAAAACGTTATTTATCAGTTTCGAAACTAATTGACCGTTCACTTGTCAAAAATTCATTTTCAGATCAACTTTACAAGACGAGGAGATCTTCCAAGAGGCAAGACCTGGTTTTTGTATTTTGTTGGCGTGTGTGTCATTTTAGAGGCTATATTTGTTGATGTACTTCTTTTTCAATAATTTAGCAGATAAAAGTTTATACCCTAAAAATCATCTCCAAAGATGTAGAAAAATAAACTTGTGTGCTCAGAAATGTCACATTTATGGAACGTTTTTATAGCTTTCATGGGTACTATTTTAATATTCAGTGACCTTTAACCTGAAACGTTGCAGACACCTTGGTTTGGGCATGTGGTGAGACATGGTTCGATGGCAAAGACTGCTGCAAAGAACATTAATCGAAGAAGAGGAGGGCCAGAAAAAATCTGGAATGACAACATCAAGAAAGGGACAGGACTGAGTTATCATGTACTTGTTCATCAAGCGGAAGACAGAGAAAGATGGTGGGCTTTATGTGCTTGTGCTTCCATCAATACACCTCCAGGACCCTAAAGGGTCAAGGGTTATGTTATTATCATAATATGTTGTTTTTTTTTTTTGACTTCAGTTTATACAATACATTGTTTTAACTTGTAAGATTTGGTCATTATAAATTTATCATATAGGTCATGTGTGTTGTCCGTCCACTTGATATGTGCTGCTGAGTGGTACCAGAAACATGTTCCTTCCTAATTATCTATATTTGTGTTTTGATAACTTTTAATTATCTCATGTTCAGTTGTGCTCACCCATGAAATATTCTTTTTCCTCTCACCTTTCTCTGATACCAACAAGCATCCTAGTTATCAGTGTTATATTGTTTTGGCAATGCCAAGGGTGTCATATTAAAAGAGTACCTGCCTTATGGTAACACTTCACAGATCTTTTAAAACTGAAAACAAAAGTATTGATCAGAAAATGAGGCATATCATCAAGTGCCTTGCCAGCTAGCGAAGGCATCTCCACAGATCTTGGTCTTTGGTGCTGTGGATAACTGATATTCCTCCATGCCACTGTCTTAAGCCATCCATCATAATTTCTCTTGGTCTGCTTTACCTCTTCTACCAGTGATCTTTCCAGACATCACAGTATATTCCAATGCTCCTTTTCTTATCACATGACCAAAGTATTTTGTTGATCTCCTTCTCATTGTTGTATATAATGTTCTACTTTTTTCAGGCAATCATTGTTAGTTATTCTTGCTGTCCAAGGTATTCTCAACAATCTTTTCAAGAACTACATCTCAGTTGCATCTAAACTCTCCTTAATTTGTTTGCTCACATTCCAAGATTCACTGCCATACAACAGAAGAGGCTCGATATAATATTTCAGAACTCGTTTTCTGATGTTGAATGAGAGTGACTTATTACATAAGATACTTTTCATCTTCTGAATCGCTATATTTGAGCCCTATCGGGCACCACAAATTTTTATTTAAAAGCAGTTTGTAGAAAGCATGGTTCGTGTAGCTAACAGCCAAGAATTTTAATCTTGTGATTCTTCCACATTCACCCTCTTCTCCAGATCTGGTTCCATCAGAATACTTTTTCCTTTTTTCCCTCCCTCTCAGCAGGCTGAGTGATCTCGAGGCATGGTGTCCGCCTTGAGTGCTGGATGACCGGGTACAGGCCCATGGTGTTGTTGGGATTTTGTCACGGGGATTTCTAGTAATTTTCCTTGGTGTCTGGGTAGTAAGATCGAACACCCATGTGCACACGTAAAGAGTAGCTTAACGGCGCTGCCCAGGCAAAATTTTGAGTTAAAAATCTATCAAAAGTGTTTCAAGATCTTCACCAGTGCTTCGGAGTTCGTGCACTGTGCTGAGATTCAGGCTTGGGTTAGAAGTAGAGCCGTGCACTTTTGGTGGGTTACTACTTTTGTGCTTTGATGTTGAATTAAGAATTGACATCACAGCACTCGGAACACCTCCATAAGTGCTCCGTCCCCATCTTCAGCTACAAGCGAAAAGTTCCAATTCTGATGGCATTGGTAACTGTCTGATTGTATGTCCGTCTCGCCTTTCCCCTGAGTGTTGAGTGCCGGCCAGATTCCCTTGTAACTCCTCCCAGGGCCATTCTCCCCAGACCGTAATGATCTGTCTGTGCCTCTGTACTGTTCAATCGCTCCCAAAGAGCCCTCACAATATTCAGCTTGTCATATATCATCTCACCACCAAGCGGTGCAGAACCGGCTAGTCTATCTGCCTGCTCATTTGCCAACATACTGGCATGACCTAGAGAAAATATCTAAATGATGCTAACTACTGGGGCATCTGTGAAGTGTTGCTTGCCACTCTGCACGGAGCATGCCTGTCTCCACCTTTCTCAACATGCTCTGCGAGTCAGTTACAATCAAGGTATGTGTGTACAGCTGATTCTCAAGCTAGTGGAAGGCAGCAGTGACTGTCTCCACCTCCATTCTCAAACTAGATTGTGATATATGCCAGGCTTTGCTGAACCAGGCGATATGGAATGTACGAACCCTTTATAGAGCTGGAGCAGCTGAAGAACTGACCCGTGAGTTATCAAAATAGAGAATGGATATAACAGCAATTCAAGATATGAAGGCCAGGACAGGGTACCATAGAGGAAAAAAGAATGATCATATTCTATGGAGGAAACACTCAAAACAAACATGAACTTGGGCAGGATTTGTTATCAAGAAAAAGTTGTGGGAAAGTATTATAAATTTTGAAACTGTAAGTGATAGGATCAGTAAGTTACGAATAAAAGGAAAATTGAAAAATATCACGATGATTGAAGCGCATGCACCCACTCAGGATAAAGAAGATGATATTAAAATGAATTATATTATCCCCTTGAGAATATCAGAGATATAGCTAAAAAATGAGACATATCGATTGTCTTAGGAGATTTCAGTGCAAAAATAGGAAGAGAAAACACCTATAAAAATGTTGCAGGCATGGAAAGCCTACATACTAATTCAAACGATAATGGATGGAGAATAATCAACCTCGCGGTAACGAAAAGACTACAGATAAGCACACAAAGAAAAAATATACTTAAACACTCATCATAATCATGTGACAATATAACTTATAATCAAACAGATCACATTTTAATAAATGATAGAAATGCATCTAACATACAACAAGTTAGAAGTCACAGAGGAGCCGAGACCACTACCTGGTTGGTGCAAAATTAAAAATATCATTCTACACCAAGTACAAATATCACATCCAGAGGACAATCATCATCATCAGGTGCCTTTCCGACTGGTGTGCGCGACATGCCTCTCCATAATCTGCGATCTCCTTCAGCTTGTATCAGTTTGTGTGCTGACACACCTGCATGCCATGCAACAAGACTGTCAAGCATCTTCTCTCGTTGTCTTCCTCTATTCCTCCTTCCACAGATCTTTCCAGTGGTCACAACATGTTCTATTTTCCCTCTTCTCATAACATGGCCGAAAAATGATGACTGTCTCCTTCCGATGTCTGTGATAAGTTGTCTTCGGACTCCCGCCTCTTTCAAAACCTCTTGGTTGCTCTTTTCGGCTGTCCAAGGTATTCTAAGCATTCTTCTGTAAAACTACATCTCTGAGGCCTCTAGAAATTGTTTGGCCTGCCTACCGATTGTCCAGGATTCACAGCCATATGTTAAAACTGGATGTATGTAGCAAGCAAGAATTCTTTTTCTAACTCTCAATGACAAGGATATATTGCACAAGATGTTCATCATTTTATAAAATGCAGTTTTTGCCTGTCCTATTCTGTTACTTATCTCATTTATGCATCTTCCATCTGATGTTATCGATGTGCCCAGATACTTAAATTTCTGTACTTGTCCTAAAATTACACCATCAACTTTTATTACACATTTAGGAATGATTCGTTTCTTTGATACCATCATTACTTCTGTCTTCCCATTATTCAAACTGAGGCCCATTCTTCCACTTTCTAACACCACAATGTCTATCATTTCCTGTAATTCTTTCTGACTTGTTGCAATCAAGACTGTGTCATCAGCATAACATAAATTGTTTATATTGTGACCACCAACCACAATTCCGGGCATATCAATTAAAAGATCTCATTATATATTCACTGTTTATTAAAAACAAATCAGGTGACAGTACACATCCTTGTCATAAGTCCATTTTTATGCTTTGAAATGTACCTAAACAGTTGTTAATTCTTATAGCTACTGTTTGCTGCCAATACATACTCTTTATTATTCTTAGATCTTTCCCATCAATGTTTAATTTTTCTAACAGTTTGATTACTTCTTCATGCTTCACACAGTCAAATGCTTTTGTATAGTCTATGAAGCACAAGTACAAATCAGTCTTTACTTCTATAGCTCTTTCTGACAATGTCCTTAGGATGTATATGGCATTGTTTGTACCTTTTCCTTCTACAAATCCACATTGTTCATCGCTGATTTCTGGTTTAATTATGTTTCTTTTTCTTCTCATAATTATTCTCAGTAAAATCTTAGTCATGTGACTCATAAAACTTATTGTGCGATGGTCTTCACATTTTAAAGTGCCTGGTTTCTTTGGCAGAGCTATAAATATGGATTTTAAAAGGTCATTTGGAATATACCCACTTTCACATACCACTCGTGTCGCGTGCCTGATTTAAGGATTTCTCCTTACAAACCAACAGCACTCTGAAATAGAATAATGTTGAGGCGTCGGCTCGTATTGGTCTAAAGGGAATCCCGTGGCCAATATACGCTCAACCTATTTCAGGAGTAGGGCAACTCAAGTTAGGGCACTACTGAGTATCTAATAATCCTAGGTTGCAACTTGGCTGGACGCCCTCACTACTATAAAAAGATAGCCCCTAGGCTATGATATTGTAATACCACAGATTAAGATTAATAATCATGCATACATAAAAGCTAGACAGTTTGCACAGTGAAACAGGGACACCCAAGTCAGTAATGAAAACTTTTAAAGGCATGTAATAAATGCAACACATATATATCAAGACAGTCAAAGATGGTCCCCGGTGGATAGCTCTCAGGATAATGAGACAGTTGAATCTTTATTTATCTCTGTCAGTCAGTCAGTACAAGAGATAGGAGACAAGTTCCATAGTGGAGATCACTAGTAAACATAGGATATCTTCTCTCCACATTCCTATCTGCTCTTGTAGACATACATCCCATCTC